CCTTTCTTATATATATGTATATTATCTTTAGTTTTACAAATATATTCGAATTTTTAATTGAATTTAATTGGATAGAATTAAGAGTGATTATTATTTGGGTATATATATTTAAAAAGGAAAAAAATAAGAATATCGTTATTTTATGCTGTGATCCATTTAGGGCGCTGACATATATTAGCTAATATCGATTTAATAGTAGCGCCTACCCCCCCACCCCCAGGTAAGATATTTTGATCACGTGTATGACAATCATTTGCCTTTTTTAGATATCAATGGTACAAAAAAAAATATTTCTGTTGAATAAATTAATTTTATTAGAATAAAACGAATAAATAAAAAATTCGAATAATTCGATAAAACAAATAAATAAAACAAATAAATAAAACGAATAAAACGAATAAAACAATAAATAATTCGAATAATTCGATAAAACGAATAAATAAAACGAATAATTTGAATAAAACAACAAATAATTCGAACAATTCGATAAAACGAATAAATAAAACGAATAAAACAACAAATAATTCGAACAATTCGAACAATTCGATAAAATGAATAAATAAAACGAATAATTCGAATAATTTGATAAAACGAACAAATTAATCGGTTTATCGCGTAAATTCGTTTTAACAAAGCATCGTATCGTATAACAACAACAACGCAAAAATAAAAAAATAACAACAACTCGAAAATAAAAAAATAATAACAAGAAAACAAATTAAAAAATGAAACACGAAATTGTTTCAAGTATAAAAAATTATCTATAATTAACAGGCGTTATTACTTCATCAAATTGATATACTGTATTGTGCGCCTGGATTTCCAAATATTCGGCGCTTAGTTTCTTTGCTATTTTTTTGTATCTGCTTTTGATTTCCTCGCTTTCATTTCGCCAATGCCTTGATGCTACTTTTGAAACTTCTGACATAATAATATGACAGTTGTATGATCTTAGCTCATTTAAAAATTCTCTTCGATAAAGGATAAACGCGTTAGGTGGCCTGTACTTTCTTTCCGAGCGGTTTCCCACGAAGTTTCTAAGTCTTAAATTTTGAGGCGGATTTGGTACATTTACTATCAACATGTTAAGATTGACTTCATTTGATTCACTGATTCCGGCCATTTTATCCTTTTATTATTATATATTTTATTTTTGATAAATTAATTGATAAAAGGTTTAATTTAATTAAGATGTAAGGTATGGAGAAATCTGACTTTTATTTATAAGAAACAAAAGTCAATATAATTGGTTTGTCTTTATATGAAATATGTAATATCAAACTTTAATCAATACACAACATATCGCTTCCGTATTTAAAGAAAACAATAGATAGGCTTTATATGATTTTCTTAATTTATCATTTATAAAATATTTTCGCCAAGTTTCTTTTGTTTGGTTTAGATAATAGAATCAATCACATTGTTTTTTTTTATACAACTAAAAAATAAGAAGAACTGGCCATTTGTAATTCCAAAAAAAACATATATTAATTTTTTATAAACGTTCTTTCCGGAACAAATTTCCCGTATCGTTGGAATCTGATAGGCATCTAAAATTTTCTTTAAATATGCATAATATGTTATATAATATAAATATAATACAGTGTGGTGATGTTGTGTGTTAAGTTGCGCCATCAAAAGGATCGGAGAGTTATTTAAAATCCTTGTTTCCATTTTTTTGACAATTCAATTCATAATTTAAATTATGAGGAACAAATATTAACGGACAAATATTTATAAACAAAGGAATAATTCCCTAAAGGAATTTAGGAAATCGCAGTTGTTTGCAAGTACGCAATATGTAGTGTCAAATAGTATTGATGTACCCAAGCTTGTTCATAATAAAAACAGTTTAAATGAAACGGGTTGTTGTGCTGGAGTTGATGGATTTGTTGGCGTATTACATGACAGTTTTAGCGAACAATTTTATTAAATATTACTTTGTATAATTTAGGAATTACCAATTGACAATAAAAACCAAAATCAATCAATTACTATAAGTGTGTGTTTTTATAAAGAAAATTCGCAAAAAAATTTGTCCGACTAAAATAATAAATTAGAAATTACGTTACGTATTGTTTTTGGTTTCACAATTCGATCATATATAGACCATCGTTGCCCAAAATTACACAATGAATAGTTATATATATATATACTATATAATTAGTTAAATCATAACATCAGTCTATACTCTTAGCCAACTGATAATGCTTTTAATCGTGAATTGTTTGAAGCAAAAAAATGGCATCTTTTTGTATTTCACAATAGTGGTTAAAAATGAAATTTAGGCAAAGTTTGTCCATCATATACTTTCGTAATGTGATACCTCTTTGATTAATCTTTGTAAGTTTTCCATTAAACGAGTTTTTTGTTGTTGTTTGTTTCTTATCAGAATCTTATTTTTTTGAGTGAATGCTTTTGAATTCCATTCAATTGTTTAAATACATATCACAAAAAAATTATTGTTGCGGACAAAAGGTGTGTTCTTATTTTGAACTTCATTTAATCTAATTAATTTATGCTTATGAATTGATAAATTCCGAGTTCTTTTTTAATTCCATAAATAGGCGATGGTTTGGCATACAGGCTAATAAAATCAGCCTCTTGGTGATTTAACTCGAACAATATGGTCGGCATCGAACTCCTATACTTTTTTCTATTCTATTATTTAATTGCTCTTTTTTTCTCGAACACTTAAAAAAATAATCACGTGTCTGCATGTTGTTATGTCCGTGTGTGCAGAAAAAATTGCTGTTATGAGCAAGTGTGGTTCTTGACCTCTTCTTATTTGATAATTATTTTTGCATTTAATTTAATTTAATTAATATATGTTTATGAATTGATAAATTCCGAATTCTTTTTTAACTCCATAGATAGACGATGGCTTTTAGCATACGGACCAATAAAATCAATCTCTTAATGATTGAACTCGAACAATATGGCGGTATCGAACTCCTATACTTTTCTCTATTCTATTGTTTTGTTATTTCATTTAACTTGTACTTTTTTCCTCAATTGTTTAAAAAATTCATTACGTGCCGCATGTTGTTCATGTCCGTGTGTTCTTTTTTTTCCTGACGTATGCGCAGAATATATTTTAGAAGAATAAATATATACGTATTTGTTTATAAAGAAAAAACAATGCCGTCGTAAACACCCAGATCAAATTTTATTTTTTTCCAATTATGTTGGAATCATAGAACATTTTCTATTAATAATAATTTTGATGATCTGCAAAGATTTTCATTGGTTGCATTTTTGTTTGATTCCCAAATTTATCGTGGACAATAACGACAATCCCTAATTTTTTTTTTTTCAATTAGGAAGAAAATGGAAAAAAGAGGCTTCTTCGCTTATTGGAATTTCATACTAATGCATTCTTTTCTTTAAAAAAAAAACCAGTAGTAAACACTTTTTTTCTATAAACTAAATTAGACCAAAATTACAATTTAAATTAAAATGAACAAATTTTTTTACTACGCACAACAAATTTTACAAATATTATAAATTCGACAAATTTATTGCTAAACATTCCTTGTGGTAGTCCACGATTTAAAATAAAAAAAAAAATATCTCATTCACAATCGATTTAAAAAATATTCTGCAAAGCTTTTTTAATTCGATTTCTACCATAAAAAAGCATCATAAATATCATAAACATGACATAAAAAAAATTTTTTTTTTCTTCGCTTTCAAATTTCTCTGATACTTTGAATTTTTCGTGGAAAGCAACGACTGCCATAGTTTTAGGTGTGCCATTTTTTGTATACGTGTATAAGGAAGGTACTTTTTAAATTAGTTTTTCATTTAAATAAATTTTTACCCATTTACATTTCACACTTTACAGAGCACCATGATTATTTTATTACAAAATAAATTGTTGTATGTAACCTACTTACCAATTAGATGTCGGAACGATCAATTTGATAAATCGTTGATTGACAAACAATTGGTATGTAAACTAATAGTTGAACGATTTGTCACATTAAACGATTGGGAAGTGTATTTTCCGAAATTTTTTGGTGATCAACGTCGAAATTCTATTAA